TAGAGCAACTCAGATATATAATTATATATTGTTTGGTTGACTTATACGAATATAAATCTTACTTTTCTTCTTTTCTGCCTAAAATCGTTTTTTTCGTTTTATTTCTTTCATGATTATTTTTCGAAGATAATACTTTAGCACAATGTTAGCACAACTTAGCACAACCTAGCACAATAAAAAAAATTTCGAAAATCAAAAAGTGGGGGGCTACCAAAAAAAACTGTTTTTTCTATTTTTCTCGCTCATTTTTCGTATTAAAAATTTATATTTCGAGCACAATGTAGCACAAACCTAGCACAAATCAGCACAACTGTCAAAATTAATAAATTCGAAAAGTGGGGGGCTAACTTCATACAGGCTCTTTATCTACTTTTTTCAGTAATAACGATTTTAGATAAAAGTTGCTACTAATAGTGTTTTATTAGAAGAAAATAAATAAAAAACAAAAAATAAACTTATTAATAAGAGTTATTAATAAGAGATATATTCGAAGAGCATAATAAGAAAGTGGACGGCAGAACTATTACATATATAAACGGGTTATCATATATCGCGATGCAATTATTCCTTTTGTGCGCTGTAGAAGTCACAAAGTGAAGCGAGATGATAGTATAATCAGATCGAGAAGTGTCACATTACGGTCGACATAAGACATGTACTATTACATTATACAGGCGACGTTTAATCTGGCATGAGCACGCTTTACGCATTACGCAGCGGACTTAGCAATTCAGCGTAGTAAAGAAACGTCACGGTATACACCCACCGTTCCTCGAGCTGCGATTGGTCTATCTTCTAACTATTCTCGAGGACAGACCATCGCCAGGGTCGACAAACAAGATTGTTTTTCATTCGTGATTGCTTCCTGATGCGTCGCGCCGGCATATGGACGGTAAAAATTAACGGAGATATAAGTAGGGAGGAATAGAGATAAAAGATGTGTTAATCTCGCATAACCAGTCTCGAATAACATTCGGAACAAATCGTGTGATTGACTTCTTCATAATTGGACGCGGGCTGTTAACAATACTAATGAGAAAGCGAATAGTTAAGAAAAGACCGAGTTTCTCAATTCTGCTTGCTTCGTTGAGCATTTAGAATGTGTATAAGATTCTTATACACGGATTCTTTCCACTTCGCGTGGAAAATGAGATATATAACAAGAAGATACATGATAGATATGTGGAAACTAATTCTAGAAAACAACAATATAATATAAATAATAACTGTGAAATTAATAATGTGTATAATAATGCGTAAGAAATAGGAAGGTGACACAGAAAATAGAAACCAGATAGCTTTCCAAGTTTTACAGGTGTCTCGGAATTCCGTGAAGAGAAGATTTCATTATTTGTTAATTATTACTAATAATTTGTTATTATTTACTATTAATATTTTTTATTTAATAATTATTATTAATAAATTATTTAATAATTTCCGTGTAGATTCCTCCTTAATAAAATAAAGATTGCAAGTTTCACCGAGAGATCGTGAAATTAGCATTCGCGAAATTACGACGCGCAGATTGGCATTCGCGGCTGGCTAGCTGGCACACCGCTGAGATCGAAGCATTAGCAATTCGCGGACTTACAGTCCTAATTAAATACAGCGATCGCGATGCGAACGGATAACGCAGTTTGTCTTGTTGATGTTAGTGAGATTTACGGTACAGAGAGCGCCACATAACGAGACGTATTCCGGCGTCGATAACGAACGTTGCCGCGCGCGGCAATATCTCTCGACCGCAGAGATCGACTTTACCTCGTTAAACAGCATTAATGAACGAGCGAGCGAGCAGACGAATGTCGCGAAGATCAATCCAGAAATAAATCACGCATGTTTGGGTTCTCTTTAATGAACCTGGCTTTGATCTCAAATCGAAAGTGACGTGCAGAAGTTTCCTCTGTAAATCTGTGCTGCAAGTTGCACCAGAAAACTGTCAGTTTCATACTCAATCTATTTACTCTCGATACTTCACGTATAATAGTCTTTCTACCGATCGCGACGGTACATTGAGAAAAAAAAAGTGAAAATTTATTTTTGTGGGATATAAAGATTATTCACAGAAATAACCTTTATATGTCCTATAAATAAATTCTCGAGTATCTCTTATCAGTGTGTAAAATGTTGATGCTACAGTCTTACGATGACATCTGGATCAGGTGACCGGATTAATGAGAATTTTATGGAGAATTCACCTTTTGGCTGAAAAATAGAAAATAGAAAAACAGAAGCATATCAAAACTCACTGATAGAAAAACAGGAAGTGGCGACTGTCGGCGCAAGTTGTGATTGTACTGAGAAAAATTACTTGACCAAATATTTATGGAATATAAAGTTTATTCACACAAATAAACTTTACTTCACAGAAATAAACTTTATATATCACAGAAATTAATTTTATATCTCACGTACAAATTCTCAAGCATTCATTTTCAGCATGACTTCTGTCTTTTTATCCTCTGCTTTTTCAAAGATATATTTCCTCAAGCATTCTTTTTTAATATACGCGATTATTTAGTTCTCTTATCGATAGCACATATTTCATCAGGTGTGTAGTTACGTAATAAGGTATCTTGACTGGCATTTGCTTTGTCTTTATATACACTAGTATTTTTCAGTCGCTCATTAAGCCACCTACGTGCGACAAAGCACATCAATCGAAAAGTTTCCTGTTTCGTGATAGAGAGATTGATGATATTAGAGAGATTAACAGGACTTACAGTGTTACTTGATAAGTTCCATAATCTGTATTGTCGGGAAAATTTATAAGAGTGACGCGATCTGAAAGAAACCGACATTGTCTCATCGCGATCGCCATGAAGCTCATTTACGTTGTCTTAGCATCCGTTGCTCTGGTTTCCGCGGAAACTCCAGATATTCTGTAAGTAAGCAGTATATATTGTCGTTAGACGTTGGTATATTTTAATTATCAGTTTTATTTTTATGTTTTATTCTACCTCGCGAAATAAACTCACGAAATACTGAAGTAAACTCAAAATAAAATTTTAAGTAATTCCATAGGAACGGTCTCGTGAATGGAACACTGCAAACAGTTGACATACGGAAAATTGTGGAAAGTTGGACTCCTTTAATCTCTCAATACATCAACGAGAATGATCTGGATCCATACGCGCTCAAATCTATTCAGACAGAATTTTGGGTGGTACGTAATACTCTCGCGAGTAAGATTAATTTCAAAAACAATTACATTAAATTCTTAAATTATCAAACTCCACGTGATCGAAATCTATATTGAGAGAAAAAATATCTAAGAAGTAAAAACATATTTCTTTGATGAGGGGTTACTAATAACCAGACGTTTCAAAGTTTGTTCATGAACACTACTGAGCGTTTTTTTTTAATTGTGCAATGGAATCGATTGTCAACGCTTTATCCACATTTATTTATATATAAATCATTCTTCTCATTTGTCCACCAAGCAGAAATGGATTATTTATAAAAGAAACGCAAATAAAAACAAACAATTGGTGTTTACGAAGCTTGCATCCCGAAGTGCAAATTTATAAAAATCACAAATTTTGACTACTCTACAAAATGTACTCTACAAAAACAAATTAAAAGTTAAAAAAATTACAAACAGAGGAAAAAGGGGTGAATCTGAGCGACCCATCGTGCTGCAAAGAGTTAAAGTTTTATCGACGTTGGTAGAAACAGACACAAGTCGTGAAGTCAACAAAGATCTAACGGTTGTACTTCTACGGTGGTATACGACGCGCTGCTGCCCCGACAACGAGAAACTGGTCATTTACGTAACGCGTTCGCTCGGGAGAGTCGTTGTTACGGTAAACATGGCGCGCTCGCTCGTAATCGCTCGGTAGGTCGCCGCGAAAATCAGGAGAAAGCTGGGTTTCGGGGTCGAAAGCGAGGATTCGAGGTCAGCGGGCCGCGGCGAAAGTGCGCGCACATACGTTCAGCGGCTCGGGGCCGTAGAAAGCGAAATCGACGAGTTGGGCCTTGGACGAGAGCGAAAGTGAAACCGGGGATGACACTTTCATGTCGGCGAACCTTGAGCCGCGCTGGATCACGGTCACACGCCGAGGTCGTGCCTCACCGCGGCGTTTTCGCCGATCCCATTTTTGACGCTCGCGAAGGCCGACGCGCGATAGCTTTGAACTTGGGACGAAAGTGAAAACGAGGTTTCACCCGGACGTAGAAGGCGAGTTCAAGTTCAGTGAGTACGAGTTCACGTTCAATGAGTACGAACGCTTAGACAGAGCGTGAATCGCGTTGGATATGTGGGAGGACACGTGACTTGAGCTATTTGTTCTTTCGTGTTAATATTCTTGGATGGTGTGAAGTCGTATCGTGATATTCTATTGTGTGACTTTTGCCTGTTTCTGCCAATGCCAATTAAACCTTAATCGAAGTTGGTCTTTGTCTAAACGGAGTTTAAACTCATATTGAAGTTTTGTCGATGTCGGTACTTTGCAAATTTCGTGTTAAATTTCGCATATCTCCATTTATCCACTCTAATTTGTGTATTAATGCAACGAAAATATGTAAATAGATTACACGACTCACTTGCACATAAAATATGTAACCAGAAATTTATATAATTTACATGTAAATTGCATTATTTTGACACTTAGAAGTGGTGAATATACTGAGAGAAAAAAATATTTATTCGGTGGGTACTAATAACGTATTTACTTAAATCTAAATACTTTTGTTTGTTTAAATAGAATAAACAGTTGCTTTTGTGAAAAGTTAAGATTTTCTTTTAAAGTTTTATAAAAATGTTTATTTCTTTATTTGAAAAAATATATTATAGTTGTATGAGTAATTCACCTACTGAATAAATATTTTTTATTTTTTAGATATCTTTTCTCTTAATGTACGAACACAATAAAAAATAGTCAAAATACAATACAACACACAAAGGTATGTTAAAAATTAAGCACAAAAATGTTTACACGAATCGATTTCAACACAAATATAAAATATTTCTTACCGTGCAGAAACGGGCATTTAATTAACGAATTACTTGTCAGAATATGCAATGGCATTATAATCCTTGTTCGCTGCGCGCTGCGGATTTATCGTATAATGTGATCCGATTACTAGAACGCGGAAGTTCGTGAGGTTTCATCTTGAAGGTGAAGGTGCTTTGAGCACGCGTTGCTATTGTTCTCGATTCATATAAATTCGATTTGAGAGAGAGAGAGAAAAAGAGAGAGAGAGAGAGAGAG